GGAGTTTACTCTAGTATAGGGTAGCAAAATTCAGCTGAACTAGCTCTGGTATAGGCTAAGGGTTCCAGGGTCCCAGCGGGACATCCCCACCCAGAAATTCCCAAAGTACCCCCCCCCGGTGCTCGTGCGGCGGGGACATGGGGGAGGGGGAAGAAGCGGGAAAAAAAGGAGGGAGATTGCGTTTTTCGCCTCCCCTACCCCTTCGCTGTTTACGCCTGGCTAGCAAGTAACGGCTCGTCCATCGAACTGAACAGTCCTGAATGTCCTGAATCTATCATTCCAGCGTTTTGTTTTACATTTTAACCCATTTCTCATATAAAGCGTAAGGCCTGTGAATGCGAGTGCAATTAAGGATTTACACGGCCAGTTATATTTGAAAATTCTACCAAAATTGCCAAGCTTTTAACTAGGCGAGTGCAAATTGAAAGAATTTCAAATATCACAAGGAGTGAAAATCTTTAATTGCTCGTGCTTTCAAACGATTACTCATTTATGATCTGACCGAGAAAGCTACAAACGCGTCTGCAATTTGCGCTGCAGTGCAAATTAATCACAATGAAATAATTTTCTCAGTCAAATAAAGCAGCAAGGTAAACCGCTAGCGTTTCATGTAGTTAGTTTGGAGCATTTTTTAACGAGTCCTTTACCGTCAACGAGATAACTCCACGGTTAAGAAAATCACCTTGAAATAAAGGGCTTTCACTTAAAGTGAAAGTAAGCTGCCCGTGCTATTTGTCAACTTGTCGCGCTGCGTAACGGAAGACTACACATGCAGCTTAAAAACAATTGTCGCTTTCTTTTTCAAGTTCCTCTCTCCTGACGATCCTTAGTTATTTTCAATTTTTTTATTACTTCTCTGTTGTTTTTTCTACCTAAGAAAGCTATGTTGAGATGTCCTTCAATTTGAAAAAAAGTTTGTAACTGACAAGATTGGTTAGTACATACGGCAACCTTTATTACGCAGTCCTTCACTGTTACCATGGTTACCTACCGCTGCATTGACGTACTCTTCAATTCTTTGTGGACTGACATGTGGGTTATTAACAGTCAACAGGTCTTTAAAGAAACCCTGTAACGCAGTCAGAGAAAAAAAGAAAAAAGTTTTCCCTTTGAATTTATTCTGGGTTCTAAATTGTTTCATTGGCAAGACAGCTTTCGCTTAGCTCGTTAGGTGGCTATGGTATGGCGCTTATGTGTGCATTCTCTAGAATTGAATTCAAGCTCAATTCAGATAACTGAGTCTTTGTTAATTAACTGAAAAAGTAGCTTCTCGTTAGCGTCTACCTTATAGCTTAACCTGCGTAGCAAGCGTTCTGGTATTTTGCTCAATTTTCGGGCTGCCAAAATGCGGTAAATTCTTTTTTGTAGGAACGCTTGCAACAAAGGCAAGGATGTCTTTTATCAAGCCCATGGAATGTTTTACACTTTGAATCTGATAAGTCGCTGGACTGATGAAGAAGGGTACATTTAATTTTAACAAACCCTCAAGTGTTTCTTCTCTAGGTATCCTTCACGATAGACATCGTAATGATTCCAGATCTGAAATGAAAGCGCGTAGTTTTTGCTTTAGATTCTACTTTCAAAAGCAGATTAATAGTTCAGAAGGAAAAAAATTAATACACCAGGTACGCTAAGAGGGGGCAATGGTACGTGAGTTGATGAGGTCTTGCCGATTGCGAATCAAGTGACCTCTGGACCTCTGTCACGCACATCACACAACGCAGCATTGCGTGACATAGGGAGGGCCAGAACCTGACTACTTGTAGTGACGTGACTGACCGTTCTACAGAATCTTTACCCGTATCGATCACATCATTGAAAGGGCTGACTGATCAAAAGTTCGTACCCTTGATTAACTGAATTCGGTTTCAGAAGTTATTGATTTCTGATTTCCTTTTGGCCTTTTTTCAACCTCTGCTAGCTCTGAAACTCTGCCTCAAAATAACACGGAGAGTGTCACAATTTCTAAACTGGCAATAAAATGTTCTACCCAGTAATTGAACATTGCATTACATTCCTACCTTCATAAATTCAACGCTGGAAATTTTTGACTCTCGGTGGAACTGAAGAAGAAAGTTCTGTTCTGTAGGAAGAATTTGGGCTACCTGAAACCAGGAAGAAAGAAAGAAAGATAGAAAGGAAGTGAACAAACGTTACCAACATTCTTTACGAGAGACAACAGAGTTTCATTAGAGTCATCAGGTTTACAAACTAACCTCGTTAATTTCCAGACGGCCATCATAGTTTTTGTCGTATCTCTCTAGAATAAGTTCTCGCATCTCTCTGACTTTGTCTTTAGCCAAACCCTGTTGCAGAGAGATCATCGAATCATCATTAAAAAACAAATTCCCCCTATAGATCCTCCCACTTACCCATACCATTCTACTGCCGGCGATCAGACGTTCTCTTTTTTTGTTTTTCCTCTCTCTTCCACCACCGCGAAAAAAAAAAATAAATAAATAAATAAAATAAAATAAAACAAACAAACAAACAAATAAAAACTAAACTAAACTAAACCAAAACGCCCGATCGCTGGTCGTGACCACTACCTTCGTATCGTGTGTTTGTTCTGTCTCTTATAGCAAATTAGTGTAAAATGTTGCGAATTTTCTTTTTTTCCCCTACGCAGGCGCAATCTTCCTGCCCCTCCGCGAGGATGATTTCGTGACGAGCCCAAAGAACGTCGCGCTACATTTCTCGGGTCCCCGCAATCCCTTTCCCGTCTTTTCGTCTCCGACTCCCCGTACCCCCGCTGCCCATTCACCCGGGTACCACCCCTTCTCCGTAAACGTAACATATTCACCGGTGGCCACTGCTGCTGGGCTTCGATAACACTTTTAAATATTGTTTACAATTCAAAATATTTCACTCGCGTTCTTTGAGTTTGATTTTCGGTAAATCGGTGTCAGTGACCGCCCGTTTAACAAACAGGTGGTCTGATTGTTAACTGGCACACTATATTTACTACTTTATATTTTACAAAAGACAACAATAGATTCAATTTCACGAGCATTAGAATTTTAAAATGGTCTCTTTTTATTTTCACCTCCCAGCAGGCCGCCGAAACTCCTGCCTTTGCTTTATCTATACGTTATCAGAATAAACACTATTGGTTATAAATACATTAACGGAGAATTTTCCATTCTGCATCCCTCCAGTGAAACAATCTAATATTTGTATTTTAAATTATGAACGTGTATTCTGTACATGTATGAATTTATCCCGCCTTGAAAAAAATTCAAGGCATTTCCAGTCCACAGTAATATCATCCTTTGAAAGTATTCCTTTCCGTGCCACACGAAAAAATAATTATTTGAATCATTAACCACCAATGAATAATTTCTCTCGATTTGTCAATGGCCTTCAGATAAATAATTTATTCGCAACTCGTGTTATTATCATTTTAAATGGTGAGCTTTCCGCGGATGACAAGCTTCGTTACGGATATGTTTGAGCCATAATTACGGCATTTTTGGTGAGAATATTCAAAGCCACACGCCTGTCCGCGATAAAGAAAATAATAAATACTTACATGATATCTTGCTTCGAACAGTTCTTGTAGAAAAGGATCCAGCTCTCTGGCTTCAATGTAACCATTACCTGTGATTGTAAATCAAGAGTAAACCTTGTCGAGAATGTTTTTGAGAAGCTTCTTTCAACGAAATCAACCTCGCCACAAAATGAACCGTTGTGGAAAACCGATCTGTATTATTTCATACATGAATTGAGGTATATTTAACAATAAATTGCCTTTTAACCTCGCTTTTAAATAACTAAATATTGCTTGCAGGATTTCTGGGATCACTTCGTTTCAGAAAAAAATCGATGTTTTTCTCTTTTATTCAAAATCGCCAAAAACAAAAGCCAAAACAAATTTCGAAAATCCACCCGTCTTTACGACAGCAGTGACATATGCAAATTTCGAACGGTGAAGAGAGTCAATGATCGCGAATTGAAATAAGGTTTCTATACTACACAATGTATGCCTTTGTAAGTACATCGGCACATTGTAATATTACGAATCGATACTTAACTCTTTTAGCAATCGGAAAAAAAGGGAGAATTATTTAAAATATCCGTGAGAAGGTGAAAGAATATGGGAGGTATATTCCTGATAAAGCTGCATTTATACCCCAAGACACTTGCATGTCGAACGGAGTTTGCCAAATAGTTTTCTATGTTGCGCGGTTACCTGAATTGAACACGATGTGGCGAAAAATATCAACAACCTCTAAACGAATTCAACGCGAAGTGAAAACTTTTTTTCAGACTAGATCTGCTAAACAGATCCTGTATTTAGCTATATTTTCATCGCAGCTGTCGCACGGTTAACGCAAAAAAATATTCTACAGAATTTAAGCGTAGCTTACCATCTTTGTCGTATTTCCTAAACACTTCCATAAACTCAGTCGATGTTAGCTGAGTTTTGCCATGAAACTTGGTGACAAACGGCTTCATTCCTGAGCGGGAGGAAGCCATCTTGCGTGAGTTAACCCTTCAACGCAGCACCCTGCCACAGACAAGGCAGCTTATAATGTAAACAAACACCACTTGACCAGCTGACCACGACAGAAGATCTCCAAATTTAAACAAATCACTTGTTCTGGCTGCTGTTATTGGATGAACTTGATGAGCTAAAAGCTCAATATCAGCCGCTTTTTTTGTGCGGTTTATATCATGGGAAAGGGTTGTATCCTGTAAACTTTATGTCGTCGCTTTGGGGACACACGATCAATCTGTGAACGGGCAGTGTTTCTATTTGATTTTTTTTAAAAAAAAAAAAGAAAAAAAGCACATAAACTGAATCAAAATCAATTTTTATATAAGCGTAATTTAAAAAATCTATAATACGCTTTAATGTATAATTTATGAAATTTTTTTATGGATTAAAATCCAAAACCTATTTCCAGTTACCTGTCTGTAAAGACAGTAATTACGTTAAGTCTATGTCGGGCCAAGCAGCTTCACTTCCATTTTCTATTGCAGTTGTCTTTCTCCTGGATAGGACGTTAGTCCATCATGGGGTTCCACCCCTAGCATTAATTTCGCTGGTACCCATTTTTACAGCTGGGCTGCAGGAGTCATGTGTCTGGCTGTGGAAGGCATCACAATGAGCTTCAAGAGGCGCTTCAACATACGCTGAGGGGGGCTACTTTGGCCGTGAGGGACTAGGCTGGCAACGGCGTTTTCCCGCCAAACTCAAATAACTAATTCGCTTCGCCGCTCGCGCGCATGTCGCGCTCGTACACTGACTGGAACGAAGATGAAATGGAGTGGATTGGAACGAAGTGGAGTGGAGTGGAGTGGAGTGAAGCAAAGTGAAATGGAGTGAAGTGGAGTAGAGTGGAGGGAAGTTGAGTGGAGAGGAGTGGAGAGCGAAGTGAAATGGAGTGAAGTGGAGTAGAGTAAAGTAGAGTAG